CACCATATAGCAGGTGGAGTGACATGGTAACTGCCACAATAGTCTCTATGTGTCAGGAAGTGTGAAGGTGGCACAGGGTCCAAAGTACAGGATCCAGATCTGTTGTTTATAGGGTCGTTGTGAGTGGTATTCAACTCAATGACACCGGACACCAGCACAGCTATGTAGAATTTCAAGGATATTGATATGTATTTTAGTAATTTGAAGAGGACTTCATATTCCCATGGACTACCAAAAGAAGAAAAAAAAATACATCTTGGAGGAAGTACAGCAAGGTGTTCCTTGGAGACAAGAATGGTGAAGCTTCATCTCACATTTTAGGCCTGTTGTTAGGAGGGGCCAGTCCTGGAAAAGGACATGTGCTTGGAAAGGTGGAGGGCCAGAAAAAGAGAGGAAGTCTCTCAATGATATGAATTGACACAGTGACTGTAACAATGGGCTCAAGTGTGTCAGAGGTGGTGAGGATGCCTCAGGGCAGAGTAAAGTTCAAATCCATTGTTTATAGAGTCACTGTGAGTCATTGTCTACTTCACAGCACAGAACAACAGCCACAAGCCATAGGCAATCTCCCCCCTTGACATTTATCTGAAAACCCATGGGAGGGTTAGCTTTGGGTTGCTTCTGACTCAACAGCACACAACAACAACAAGGCAGCTCTGATGGTGTCATCTCTAGGGAGCTGCACTCAAAGGCCGTGTGCCTCCCTGGTGATTCAAATTCTCCAGTGGCAACAAGAGAAAAAAGACAATCTCCTCCTATGTGATTTATAAACTTGGAGGGTTGGGTATGAGTCTATTCTGATTTGACAGCAATGATAGATTTGCTGATAATCTCTTATATCTGATTATGTATATTACATGTAATTGTCACAGATGGGGAAATGGTGGCACAGAGAAATACAGTGATTTGCCCAAGGTCATCCATTCTAGCATCCTAGATGGCACCACAGGCTTCCATCTTTACAGCCCTGGATTAAGTGGTAATCTCTTTCTCTCTCTCCCTTTCCTTCCTTCTCCTTCCCTCCCTCCTCTTCCTCCTCTTCCTTCCTCTCTTTCCCTCTTTCGCTCATTGCCATCAAGTTAGTGGTCATCTGTATGTGGAGTCTCTGCTGACTCCAGGCTGGATCTGGGGCTGCTCTGGGCTGAGGGTGAATCATGAGGTGTCCTTGCAGATTCCTGCTTCTTCTGGCCAGCAGGATGCTCCAGTTCCCTCTGCCCATTACCTGCCCCTTTCCACCAAGAACTGTGGGAAGGAGGGAGCAAGATGGATCTGGAGTTTTAAAACCAGGTTTTGCCTGCTTTCTTTGTCCCCATAATATGGCTTGCTTAGATACTCTTGCCTGACGAGATCATTTCCTTCCTGAGCAGCGGACAGGAGACCATCCTGACGACCAGCTCCTGTTTCTATCTCACAGTCAACTGGCTTGTGTCACAAGAGATTCTTAATCTGGCTGGCCTCAGGATGCCCTAATGTTCCTTCATTGTTGTACACGTGTTGTGAGGATATGTGTGTGTATGTGTGTGTGAATGGGCATGTTTTCTGGAGGAAGAATTCAGAGAGTGTCCATCACATTGTAAAATGGATCCTCTTGTTTTTAAACAAGCTGAGTTGGTAGTAGCAGCATCCATTCATGAGTATCCTGCCAGGTTCCCTGCTAGACAGCTGGTATCAGTTCTCTCATGTCATCTTTATAACAAAACAATGAAGTTGTTAGGTAGTTCTGAGTTGGTTCCTAATCAGTGATGCTCTGAATGAAATATTGACAGGTCCTATACCATCCTTACAGTCATTGCTTGATATGAGCCCATTGTTGTAGCTATTGTGTCAATTCATATATATATATAAAAGGTTGTTGTTGTTATGTGCCATCGAGTCACCTGCAACTCATGGCGACCCTGTGTACAACAGCTCTAAACCCTGCTCTATCCTGTGCCAATCTTATTGTCTCTGACACATCTATCCCCATTACCCCAGTCACCATCTCAATGAGGTTGTTCCTTTCTTGCACTGTCCCTCCACCCTCCTAAGCATGACATCCCTCTCCAAGGA